AAAATATTAAATTTTTTCTTTACTATTTTAAATATTTTTTGATCATTAATTATTATTAATTTATCCGTAAATTACAAAATCATTTTAGCCCGTATTTGCGCCCAAGTCACTTATCCCACTTTTGCTCCTAATTACCACTTTTACTATCAACCCCTCATTTCAAAGTATTACGTTTATGCCCTCACGCATGCTACAAAATTAGCACGAGCGATAGCAAAATGTGTCTCATTGAGCAAGCACGGTGTGACTCGCACGTCATGTGCCTAAAGTGTCTTTGTTAAAGTAAATTTGTAAATTTGTTACAGTGTCTGTTTTAGTATTTGTTTAAGTAATTATTCTACACTTAGCAGAAGTCCAATTGAAACATTGGCGCTCCATACTAAGGAATTTTGATAAATTAGTTTAGTTTTAGTGAGTTGGCAGGCTTTGTCAAACGAAAGCGACTTCGTTTGGCAAAGAAGCTCTCCTTTTGGGTTAATTGACAGGTTCCTATGGTCAAGAAGGTCGCAATCTTGCCATAGGAAAAGTCGTTTTAGTTTAAGTATCATAGTATTAGTAATTCAGAATTCTGGGAGAAGCAAGGTAGGAGAAAACCCCCTTTTTGTATGGAAATATCGAGAATACCGATAAGTCACCTAACGCCAAAATTCAGTACTAATTCCCAATTTAAAATAATTCTGCAAAACCTTTTGAATCTCTCTCTTGTCATCGATCCCTTGTTGTGTTAAAATCGTTAGTTAATTTCTCCGGTTTTAGTAAAAATGTAATAGATTTAGAATCAGTTTTACTTTAGTTACAGTTTAATTCTTTTATGGTTTCGAATTGTTAAATAATATGTTACAGTGAGTTTAATATTCCAATTAATTATTAGCTTAATGTTTTCTTTAATAAATAATAAATTTAAAGTGCAAAATGAAATCATGATCCCTATCACGAGTCAACTTATCATCGATACAGAATCTGTAAGTTATTTATATTATTTATGGTTCTTTGTTATAATCCAGAATACTCAAGTAATTCTGCTTATGGTTTTTTATTATTTTAATTATTAATTATAAACGACAAAATGATCATCACTATTTATTGTAACTTGTCAATTTAATTTCGTTGGTACAATATACTTAATTATTTTTATCTAATCGATTGTTAATTTATTTATAATTCCGTCACTGTGTTTTAAACTACCTTCTCTTTCTTAAATACAAAACTCACCCCTCTCTCCACGACCAGCATAGCTGACTTGTTCCGGCACGTGCAAATGTTTGTTTAGTCGGTCTTAATTAAGTATTGAGTAATGTTTGATTTAATGATTTTTGATTAATTATGTTTTAGTCCGGTTGACAATACCGGCGATACAAAAGTTGTCTGGCGCCCTACCGGGGACCACCTAGACAAACTATAAAGAACTAGATTGCACAAGTAACGTTTTCTTTAGTTAAATATTGAAATTCGGATAAAATCAGATTTTGAGTATGTAAAGTTGTCTTAGAATTCAGTTACAGTAACTTTAAAATTATAGTTTTAGAACTATTTTGGATTTATAAATGATTGTTTATTATTAATGTTCCATTTAGTTTCCTTATAATAATAGTGTAGAAGAAAGCGTTACAATTTGGCGCCCAACGTGGGGCGCACAAGTCAATATTTTTGAGAAAGTAGTTCAGTGAGTAATAGAGAAAAGAAATTTTTTTAGAAAAAAAAATTATTTTTAGTCATGTTGTTAAAGTGTGTTACAGATAATTAAAATACGTAAAGTAACTGATTAATTTTTTTAAATGTAATATTATAAGAATCGACCAACTTATCTATTTTCATGTATAAATCTCATATTTTTTAATTTACAAAAAAAAGATGAAGAGAATATTGTAATTGACTAATATTAATTTTCATAACAGAAAATTAAAATTTGAAAAATTCAGTGTCTTTAATCTCTGTTTTCTTCTTTTTTTTTGAAAGAATTTTTAATTAGGAAATTTTATTTCGAAAGGAATGATGATTATTTTGTTGTTGACAATAAATTGATGTAAAGTATTATACATGCTTTATTGTCCAATTTCATTTTGTCTCGATGATTTGTTTCGAAAAATTGTTTATTTTTAGAATTTTAATATTTTAGCCATTGTTACAGTAACCTTTACTTGGCTTATAATTATTGAAAGTCAATAATAATGAACCAAGTTTGTAAGCTTCTGTTGTTAATTATATTTTATCCCTTTTGAATCGATGAAATTAATTAACTTCTTATTTACGAAGTTATTATAATCTCTTTTTTTTAATTTAAATTTGTTCTCTGTAAGGGCGAATATGGAAAAAACTGAGTGATCACATGACTTGCCCTACCTCTGAAAATTAAAAATTTTGGGGGAAATTTGCAAGTGGGGAAACCCCCCTCACCCGAGGAAAGACCATGTCCCTAACAAGTGGTCGACGCCATGCTCATTAGTTTTGCGGATTCTAAATTGAATAGTCGTGTTTTCGCCATTTAAATAAGTTTCCTGAAAATTCTCGTGCTACAGTTTCAATTAATTAGTTATTAATTAACTTACTTGCCACAGTAGTATTATTCTTTTTTCTTATTTTTCATTTTTATTAAAAGCTGCAGTTTGTTTAAGAGTTATTTTTGGGTTCTTCTTATTTAATAATTTTAGTTCTTTTTTTGAGTTGGTTATAAAACCAGAACTCTTGTGTGTGGTGCATTGTGCCATCCACTTACACCTCAACCCCGTGTGGATAGTTCCTGTCGTGTCATCCACCGAGTAAGTAACTATAAAATCAATTCGATTCAGTGTAAAAGAAAAATTTTGTGTATAAATTTTCCTTTTCTCGCCATGTGCTAGCATCCTACCGGCGCCTATTTGGTATGCGTGAGTATTACTCATGGTGTCGGATTAGTAGTAGTGTGTAAAGCGTACGAGTATAGAAACGTGCTTCCCCTCTGATCCTCTCGCGCCAGTGATATACTCGCTCTCGCTCACTCCTATAGTGCGATCTCCGTCCTATCGAGTCTCTGCTTTGTGCGATCGTTCGTACTTTCAAGCAACCAAGACCAGTGCATATGCACTATATCTTTCTCCGTCTAACCCATTGAAGTGTATTATCTTGCTTTTATTCATACAGTACCTTGGTATAGAAAGTTACAGAAATCAAAATTTCGAATATTTCACGAAAGAAAATAGTTACAGAAATTAGAATTTTAAGAACATCCTTGTGAGAAACAGTTATAGAAATTTGATTTTAAATATTTTTCAAAAAAAATATAGTTACAGAAATTTATTAAAAGGTAAAAAGTAAAAAGAATAAAAATGGCAGACCAACGGTCTATAAAATCAGATACCTCCGAACCATCACAGTTGCAGCCATTGTTACACGATCTGAACCTTGGTTACGACGGGTATGATGCAGAAAATAATCATGATCAATTGCGTGAAGACCAAATACCATTCGAGCCTGAAATACAACACCGTGTAAATGGAGAATTTAATTTCGAAAATGTTAATACCTCTCGCGGACATTATTCTCGCTCAAACAACACTAGAGAAACGCGTAATTTCCACAGACGTAGAATCATTCCTAATCCTCGGGACTACCAATTTGATACTGTTCACATCCCAGCAACAACAATAAATACTCCGACTCCATTGAGCCCTCATTTGCTGTTACAAACACTACATCGCTGGAATTTACAATTCAGTGGTGATCGTGGAGAAGATGTTGAAAATTATATAAATCGAATCGATGAGGGTCGTGAATTATTGGTTATGCGTGAATCAGATTTATTAAAAGCCATTCCTTTTACGTTAAAAGATGCAGCGTTAACATGGTACAGAAGATTCATTCTTGAATACGCAACAAAAGCCGCTCCACTGCACAAATTGGTCAAGAAAAATCAACCCTGGGAATGGAAAGAAGATCAGGAGAGTGCCTTCAACACATTAAAATCACTGTTGACAACCACTCCTACATTAGCATGTCCTAACTTCAAACTACCATTCACCTTACAAATTGACGCAAGTTCTGTCGGATTAGGAGCAGTGTTGACCCAAAATATTGAAGGTCAAGAGCGAGTGATTGCTTACGCTAGTCGCGCCCTTTCAAATGCCGAGAAGAACTACACGGTTACAGAACTGGAATGTTTAGCCGTAGTTTGGTCCGTTAAAAAGTTCCGTTGTTACTTAGAAGGCTACTCATTCACAGTAATAACGGATCACAGTAGTTTACGCTGGTTACACAATTTGAAAAACCCAACTGGTCGACTCGCAAGATGGGCTCTAGAACTCATGGAATATGACCTGACGATCATCCCCCGGAAAGGAGCACTTCACCACGTTCCAGACGCTTTATCGCGCATACCTGAACAAATGTCGGATCATGTTCACCAAATTGAAGTGATAGAAGACCGATGGTACTTGAAGCGTCTACAGGAAGTCGAACAACATCCTGACAGGTTTCCAAACTGGAAAATCGAAGATAATCGACTTTACTACCACAAACCAGCTGATTTTCCAGAAACCGAAGTCACAGATCTAAATGCCTGGAAGTTGGTATTCTACAGGGAATGTTGTCTACAGGCCTTACAGGAAAACCATTCAATTCCTCAGTCAGGGCATTTTGGTGTAAAGAAGACTCATCGCAGAATCGCAACTCAATACTATTGGCCAAGCATGTTCAAGGATGTTGTTTCTTTTGTTAGGCATTGTGAAACTTGTCAACGCACCAAGGTCGAGCAAATCCGACCTGTTAGTTTTATGGGAAAGAAGACTGTTGAGGAACCCTGGACAGTGGTAGCTACAGACATAATGGGACCTTTGACTCCTAGTTCCAGAGGTAACGTGTACATTTTGGTCATTTAAGACCTTTACACCAAATGGATAGAGATACAGCCTTTAAGAAAAGCTACAGGTCTAACAATATCAGCAGCGTTACAGGACTTAGTTATTAACCGTTGGGGGTCATCTAAAGTTTTACTTACGGATAACGGTACCGAATTTGTAAATAATAACATGAAAGCCTTAGCGACTAAAATAGGATTTCGACACATGACCACTCCACCTTATCGACCTCAGGCCGACCCTGTCGAACGAGTAAATCGAGTAGTACGCACCATGATAATCGCATTTATAGAAAGAAGTCAACGTGAGTGGGACCTACACCTCCCAGAATTTCGTTTTGCACACAACACAGCGTACCACTCCTCAATCCAAAGTACTCCAGCGTTTCTTAATTTCGGGCGCGAACCATCAGCCGCGATATCCCTACGCCGAGAACTAGAAAGAGATATGGTCATTGTCCACCAACCCTCACTAACTTGGTCTAAAAGAATGCAACAGCTTAACGAATTGCGAAATAGTATCGTTCACGCTCTAGACAGTGCCTTCCGAAAACAATCTTTCTATTATAACCGCAAACGACGCGACCAACGATACGAAGTCGGTGATTTAGTATGGAAAAAGCAACGCGTGCTATCCGCCGCAGATAGACACTTCATGGCGAAACTAGCAGATGCATTTCACGGTCCCTTTATTGTCACTAAGCGCATATCAAATGTGGTTTCTGTTCTGGAAGATTTACAGGGGCAATCGATGGGAAAGTTTTCGGTACAAGACCTAAAACCTTACCATTCATTACTCCAAGATAACCCAGATTAACCTAAAGTAATAAATTAAATTACAGTACTTAACAAAGATCGTTACAGAATTTAAAATGTCTTAATAATTAACGTTACAGTATTCCTCACGACTCAGTTTGTTCAACATTGAGTTTCAACGTTTGTCTTTGTATTTGTCTATATTTGTGTTTCTTGTGTTCCTGTACACCAATACCAAATGTGGTATTTTGGTATAACATTCATGTCCAGAATAAGTTACAGTATAATCTAGTGTTCCAGTATTTTCAATAAAGTTACAGTTTTTCAATAAACGCTACAGTAAAGTCGTCTTGTTACCGTCCAGGTGGTGGATCCTGTAAGTGTATTCGAAAATTACAATAAAAGAATGTTACAGGCTCATAATGGAATACCCTCCACCTGACTCCACGTGTCAAATGGATGAGGCGGAGATTTTACAAATCTCCGACTCGGAGGACGACCTATCGACGATAGACAGCCTCGATAGCCACCTTCTTGAAGAGGAAGAGGACGAGATTCGACCACCATCGTCACCAAACTCGTCAAGCTCTTCAAGCATCGAAATAATCGAGATGGAGGAGGAACTAAGAGACGCTGCGCAAATGGAGGAAGACAGGGACTTTCGGGAAGAAGAATTAGAAAATGGGGACTGGCAGATGGAGGAGGAACCGAGATTTGCTGCACCCCAAGATGAACTCGAAGAAATCCCTCGAATCCCTACACCACCCGCCTGGAATCCACCAGAGCCAGAAGAATTTGGGCCAGATGAGATCAGGGGACCCCCGTTGGAAATACCAGTCCACCTATAGGAAGATCCTTTCTGGGACCCCATCAGACCCTTTGCACCAGCTCTAGCGTGGCTGGAGCAGTATAAACCAGGACTGTTCCGGGCAATCCACGAAATGGTGTCTCGGTATAGTCACCAAGCCAACGAAGATTGTCCCATAAGATGGAGAACCGACCTGGCTGGTTGTTCCGCACTCCCCAGTGAAATCCTGGAATGGCCACTCACGGTGCCAACCACCAACGATCAAGGCACCCAAACGGAACGGAACGTCGACGAGACGCAAACACAAACGGAGGGCGTACTCTGCCACACTACGCCACCCAAACCTGCTCCCGGACCATCTACACAGACTGTTCCTAGACCTTCCCCATCAACAATGGACGTCGACCCTATCTCCTCAGACTCAGAGGAAGCAGAAGGCCCCTTCGACCCCTTGAAGGCACCCAAGCGACCTATCGAAAAAGCCAATTGGTGGACTGAAGAAGATTCCTCCAGCCACCAATCAGAGCGATACATCCGACCCAGGAAGCGGAAGAATTGGAAGAAGCCGTATGTGAGACCAAGGGAAACGGCCTACAGCCGACCACCCGAACCCACGTGCTTCCTGAACGCCAGAGGGGAACCAGTTCCAGGCCCATCACGAGGACCAACTCCAAGCCGAGAACGAGGCCCAGAACCAGCTCGAGGTCAAGCACCAGGTCCAGAACCAGCCTAAGTACCGGTTCCAGCCCCTCGACGCCTCTGTTGGAATTGCCAGAGGCCGAGCCACCGCTACGGCACCAGCCCTTATGAACGGACCATTTTTTGCCAAATGTGTGGCCGACGAGGGTACACGGCCAAGAACTGTCTGAAAGACGCAGAAAAATGGGCGTCAATGGGACCGTACGTTTCGAAATACGGGAGGAACATCCCAAGGGACCACCAACACCCATACAGACAACACCGTTGAGGCCAGTGTCAGATTTATTATATAAGAATAATTTTTCACTCATTTTCACTTATAATTCACTTGAATTTTTCACTCATTTTCACTTATAATTCACTTCAATTTTTCACTCATTTTTCACTTATATTCACTTATAGTTCACTTAATGTTTAATTATATTTGCCTTCACTTGCGATCCACTTGATATTAATTTATAATTTGTTTATAATGATTTTAATGGAGAGAGGGGTGAGTTTTGTATTTAAGAAAGAGAAGGTAGTTTAAAACACAGTGACGGAATTATAAATAAATTAACAATCGATTAGATAAAAATAATTAAGTATATTGTACCAACGAAATTAAATTGACAAGTTACAATAAATAGTGATGATCATTTTGTCGTTTATAATAATTAATAATTAAAATAATAAAAAACCATAAGCAGAATTACTTCAGTATTCTGGATTATAACAAAGAACCATAAATAATATAATTAACTTACAGATTCTGTATCGATGATAAGTTGACTCGTGATAGGGATCATGATTTCATTTTGCACTTTAAATTTATTATTTATTAAAGAAAACATTAAGCTAATAATTAATTGGAATATTAAACTCACTGTAACATATTATTTAACAATTCGAAACCATAAAAGAATTAAACTGTAACTAAACTAGAACTGATTCTAAATCTATTACATTTTTACTAAAACCGGAGAAATTAACTAACGATGTTAACACAACAAGGGATCGATGACAAGAGAGAGATTCAAAAGGTTTTGCAGAATTATTTTAATTTGAAATTAGTACTGAATTTTGGCGTTAGGTGACTTATCGGTATTCTCCATATTTTCATAAAAAAGGGGGGTTTTCTCCTACCTTGCTTCTCCCAGAATTCTGAATTACTAATACTATGATACTTAAACTAAAACGACTTTTCCTATGGCAAGATTGCGACCTTCTTGACCATAGGAACCTGTCAATTAACCCAAAAGGAGAGCTTCTTTGCCAAACGAAGTCGCTTTCGTTTGACAAAGCCTGCCAACTCACTAGAACTAAACTAATTTATCAAAATTCCACGTCGGTGAAGTTCGCAACGTTTATGATCAACGATTGAAAAAAAAAATTATTTTCCTACGAAAAAGAATAAAATTTTTTGTTCACAAATATTTCTTTTGTAAATCATTATTCAACATACTAACCAAAATATTTTCTATACAAAAATTAATAAAAATTTGCTTAAAAAAATATTTTTTTTATGAAATCGTTGATTATAAACGTTGTGAACTTCACCAACGTAAAATTCCTTAGTATGGAGCGCCAATGTTTCAATTAGACTTCTGCTAAGTGTAGAATAATTACTTAAACAAATACTAAAACAGACACTGTAACAAATTTACTTTAACAAAGACAATTAATATTACCAAAATTCAAATACTAGAAAAAATGTTCTCAGATTAGTGCTTTTGTGACGTAAATCGTAAAAATAACGTCACAACTCGCCTCTCAACAGAAAGATTGTGGAAGGGAAAAATATACGTGAATAAATATCCTCTAAAATCGGGACACCAACTATTCTGAACTCTAAACGGTTATTGACATAACAATAAATATAAACGAAACTCTATTACGATAAAACTAAATTTCACAAGGTGCACTCCCGATACCGAGCTAACGCTCTGGAGGTTTAAAAAAGGGAACTACTCTCAATTGACTACTTAGGTTCAAATAGTAATGAAAATTGTGGATTGGAAGTATCGGTTCAGATAAGACCACACAACTTTTAAATTCAACACCAAGTACTTTTTATCTCAGAGACTGAAATCTAATGGTACAAATAGTATGATAGCGATGGATGTTGTATCAACAATGGTCATAGGGATACTGGGCCGGATTATTAGTGAAGTAAGGGACAATAATATATTGAAAGTTATAGTGAATTAAGTGAATTAAGTGAAAATTGTCTTATTTTATTATGAAGTTGGGACTCAAAGTAGGTACGTCCAAAGGCAACAGATTTCAAGTCTGTGGAACAGTAAATTATGAATATGGAGACGTTGCTTCAGATTGAGAAAGGAAACTCTTAAGTTTGTTTAAAATGAGGGTAGTGAAAATTATGAAAAATATTACGAAAGCAAATTGCGTCCAGAAATGTTGCAAAGATTTACTTTCAAATTAACGCACTTGTACACTTGTACTGTAACGCAAGTAAAACGAAAAAAAATTGCTTCCAGAAATGTTGCAAAGATTTACTTTCAAATTAACGCACTTGTACTGTAACGCGTCGTTCCGACGGCTTGTCACCAAATTTTCAAAAGATTTAATAATAATACTAATTGTGTTAATCACAAAAGAGAAAGTTATCGTAGAAATCATGGGATTGTATCACAAGTTATTACAATGTAACAATGTGGGTTTAACTCAAGTTATAATTGAGTCAGGAAAAAAATTTTGTAACACAAGGAGTGTTCTCCCCCCGTCAAAGTAAATAACATAGTGAATATACGGTGAATATGAAGTAGGGTGAGAAATGAGTAATTATAAATTAATATCAAGTGGATCGCAAGTGAAGGCAAATATAATTAAACATTAAGTGAACTATAAGTAAATATAAGTAAAAAATGACTGAAAAATTGAAGTGAATTATAAGTGAAAATGAGTGAAAAATTCAAGTGAATTATAAGTGAAAATGAGTGAAAAATTATTCTTATATAATAAATCTGACACTGGCCTCAACGGTGTTGTCTGTATGGGTGTTGGTGGTCCCTTGGGATGTTCCTCCCGTATTTCGAAACGTACGGTCCCATTGACGCCCATTTTTCTGCGTCTTTCAGACAGTTCTTGGCCGTGTACCCTCGTCGGCCACACATTTGGCAAAAAATGGTCCGTTCATAAGGGCTGGTGCCGTAGCGGTGGCTCGGCCTCTGGCAATTCCAACAGAGGCGTCGAGGGGCTGGAACCGGTACTTAGGCTGGTTCTGGACCTGGTGCTTGACCTCGAGCTGGTTCTGGGCCTCGTTCTCGGCTTGGAGTTGGTCCTCGTGATGGGCCTGGAACTGGTTCCCCTCTGGCGTTCAGGAAGCACGTGGGTTCGGGTGGTCGGCTGTAGGCCGTTTCCCTTGGTCTCACATACGGCTTCTTCCAATTCTTCCGCTTCCTGGGTCGGATGTATCGCTCTGATTGGTGGCTGGAGGAATCTTCTTCAGTCCACCAATTGGCTTTTTCGATAGGTCGCTTGGGTGCCTTCAAGGGGTCGAAGGGGCCTTCTGCTTCCTCTGAGTCTGAGGAGATAGGGTCGACGTCCATTGTTGATGGGGAAGGTCTAGGAACAGTCTGTGTAGATGGTCCGGGAGCAGGTTTGGGTGGCGTAGTGTGGCAGAGTACGCCCTCCGTTTGTGTTTGCGTCTCGTCGACGTTCCGTTCCGTTTGGGTGCCTTGATCGTTGGTGGTTGGCACCGTGAGTGGCCATTCCAGGATTTCACTGGGGAGTGCGGAACAACCAGCCAGGTCGGTTCTCCATCTTATGGGACAATCTTCGTTGGCTTGGTGACTATACCGAGACACCATTTCGTGGATTGCCCGGAACAGTCCTGGTTTATACTGCTCCAGCCACGCTAGAGCTGGTGCAAAGGGTCTGATGGGGTCCCAGAAAGGATCTTCCTATAGGTGGACTGGTATTTCCAACGGGGGTCCCCTGATCTCATCTGGCCCAAATTCTTCTGGCTCTGGTGGATTCCAGGCGGGTGGTGTAGGGATTCGAGGGATTTCTTCGAGTTCATCTTGGGGTGCAGCAAATCTCGGTTCCTCCTCCATCTGCCAGTCCCCATTTTCTAATTCTTCTTCCCGAAAGTCCCTGTCTTCCTCCATTTGCGCAGCGTCTCTTAGTTCCTCCTCCATCTCGATTATTTCGATGCTTGAAGAGCTTGACGAGTTTGGTGACGATGGTGGTCGAATCTCGTCCTCTTCCTCTTCAAGAAGGTGGCTATCGAGGCTGTCTATCGTCGATAGGTCGTCCTCCGAGTCGGAGATTTGTAAAATCTCCGCCTCATCCATTTGACACGTGGAGTCAGGTGGAGGGTATTCCATTATGAGCCTGTAACATTCTTTTATTGTAATTTTCGAATACACTTACAGGATCCACCACCTGGACGGTAACAAGACGACTTTACTGTAGCGTTTATTGAAAAACTGTAACTTTATTGAAAATACTGGAACACTAGATTATACTGTAACTTATTCTGGACATGAATGTTATACCAAAATACCACATTTGGTATTGGTGTACAGGAACACAAGAAACACAAATATAGACAAATACAAAGACAAACGTTGAAACTCAATGTTGAACAAACTGAGTCGTGAGGAATACTGTAACGTTAATTATTAAGACATTTTAAATTCTGTAACGATCTTTGTTAAGTACTGTAATTTAATTTATTACTTTAGGTTAATCTGGGTTATCTTGGAGTAATGAATGGTAAGGTTTTAGGTCTTGTACCGAAAACTTTCCCATCGATTGCCCCTGTAAATCTTCCAGAACAGAAACCACATTTGATATGCGCTTAGTGACAATAAAGGGACCGTGAAATGCATCTGCTAGTTTCGCCATGAAGTGTCTATCTGCGGCGGATAGCACGCGTTGCTTTTTCCATACTAAATCACCGACTTCGTATCGTTGGTCGCGTCGTTTGCGGTTATAATAGAAAGATTGTTTTCGGAAGGCACTGTCTAGAGCGTGAACGATACTATTTCGCAATTCGTTAAGCTGTTGCATTCTTTTAGACCAAGTTAGTGAGGGTTGGTGGACAATGACCATATCTCTTTCTAGTTCTCGGCGTAGGGATATCGCGGCTGATGGTTCGCGCCCGAAATTAAGAAACGCTGGAGTACTTTGGATTGAGGAGTGGTACGCTGTGTTGTGTGCAAAACGAAATTCTGGGAGGTGTAGGTCCCACTCACGTTGACTTCTTTCTATAAATGCGATTATCATGGTGCGTACTACTCGATTTACTCGTTCGACAGGGTCGGCCTGAGGTCGATAAGGTGGAGTGGTCATGTGTCGAAATCCTATTTTAGTCGCTAAGGCTTTCATGTTATTATTTACAAATTCGGTACCGTTATCCGTAAGTAAAACTTTAGATGACCCCCAACGGTTAATAACTAAGTCCTGTAACGCTGCTGATATTGTTAGACCTGTAGCTTTTCTTAAAGGCTGTATCTCTATCCATTTGGTGTAAAGGTCTTAAATGACCAAAATGTACACGTTACCTCTGGAACTAGGAGTCAAAGGTCCCATTATGTCTGTAGCTACCACTGTCCAGGGTTCCTCAACAGTCTTCTTTCCCATAAAACTAACAGGTCGGATTTGCTCGACCTTGGTGCGTTGACAAGTTTCACAATGCCTAACAAAAGAAACAACATCCTTGAACATGCTTGGCCAATAGTATTGAGTTGCGATTCTGCGATGAGTCTTCTTTACACCAAAATGCCCTGACTGAGGAATTGAATGGTTTTCCTGTAAGGCCTGTAGACAACATTCCCTGTAGAATACCAACTTCCAGGCATTTAGATCTGTGACTTCGGTTTCTGGAAAATCAGCTGGTTTGTGGTAGTAAAGTCGATTATCTTCGATTTTCCAGTTTGGAAACCTGTCAGGATGTTGTTCGACTTCCTGTAGACGCTTCAAGTACCATCGGTCTTCTATCACTTCAATTTGGTGAACATGATCCGACATTTGTTCAGGTATGCGCGATAAAGCGTCTGGAACGTGGTGAAGTGCTCCTTTCCGGGGGATGATCGTCAGGTCATATTCCATGAGTTCTAGAGCCCATCTTGCGAGTCGACCAGTTGGGTTTTTCAAATTGTGTAACCAGCGTAAACTACTGTGATCCGTTATTACTGTGAATGAGTAGCCTTCTAAGTAACAACGGAACTTTTTAACGGACCAAACTACGGCTAAACATTCCAGTTCTGTAACCGTGTAGTTCTTCTCGGCATTTGAAAGGGCGCGACTAGCGTAAGCAATCACTCGCTCTTGACCTTCAATATTTTGGGTCAACACTGCTCCTAATCCGACAGAACTTGCGTCAATTTGTAAGGTGAATGGTAGTTTGAAGTTAGGACATGCTAATGTAGGAGTGGTTGTCAACAGTGATTTTAATGTGTTGAAGGCACTCTCCTGATCTTCTTTCCATTCCCAGGGTTGATTTTTCTTGACCAATTTGTGCAGTGGAGCGGCTTTTGTTGCGTATTCAAGAATGAATCTTCTGTACCATGTTAACGCTGCATCTTTTAACGTAAAAGGAATGGCTTTTAATAAATCTGATTCACGCATAACCAATAATTCACGACCCTCATCGATTCGATTTATATAATTTTCAACATCTTCTCCACGATCACCACTGAATTGTAAATTCCAGCGATGTAGTGTTTGTAACAGCAAATGAGGGCTCAATGGAGTCGGAGTATTTATTGTTGTTGCTGGGATGTGAACAGTATCAAATTGGTAGTCCCGAGGATTAGGAATGATTCTACGTCTGTGGAAATTACGCGTTTCTCTAGTGTTGTTTGAGCGAGAATAATGTCCGCGAGAGGTATTAACATTTTCGAAATTAAATTCTCCATTTACACGGTGTTGTATTTCAGGCTCGAATGGTATTTGGTCTTCACGCAATTGATCATGATTATTTTCTGCATCATACCCGTCGTAACCAAGGTTCAGATCGTGTAACAATGGCTGCAACTGTGATGGTTCGGAGGTATCTGATTTTATAGACCGTTGGTCTGCCATTTTTATTCTTTTTACTTTTTACCTTTTAATAAATTTCTGTAACTATATTTTTTTTGAAAAATATTTAAAATCAAATTTCTATAACTGTTTCTCACAAGGATGTTCTTAAAATTCTAATTTCTGTAACTATTTTCTTTCGTGAAATATTCGAAATTTTGATTTCTGTAACTTTCTATACCAAGGTACTGTATGAATAAAAGCAAGATAATACACTTCAATGGGTTAGACGGAGAAAGATATAGTGCATATGCACTGGTCTTGGTTGCTTGAAAGTACGAACGATCGCACAAAGCAGAGACTCGATAGGACGGAGATCGCACTATAGGAGTGAGCGAGAGCGAGTATATCACTGGCGCGAGAGGATCAGAGGGGAAGCACGTTTCTATACTCGTACGCTTTACACACTACTACTAATCCGACACCATGAGTAATACTCACGCATACCAAATAGGCGCCGGTAGGATGCTAGCACATGGCGAGAAAAGGAAAATTTATACACAAAATTTTTCTTTTACACTGAATCGAATTGATTTTATAGTTACTTACTCGGTGGATGACACGACAGGAACTATCCACACGGGGTTGAGGTGTAAGTGGATGGCACAATGCACCACACACAAGAGTTCTGGTTTTATAACCAACTCAAAAAAAGAACTAAAATTATTAAATAAGAAGAACCCAAAAATAACTCTTAAAAAAACTGCAGCTTTTAATAAAAATGAAAAATAAGAAAAAAGAATAATACTACTGTGGCAAGTAAGTTAATTAATAACTAATTAATTGAAACTGTAGCACGAGAATTTTCAGGAAACTTATTTAAATGGCGAAAACACGACTATTCAATTTAGAATCCGCAAAACTAATGAGCATGGCGTCGACCACTTGTTAGGGACATGGTCTTTCCTCGGGTGAGGGGGGTTTCCCCACTTGCAAATTTCCCCCAAAATTTTTAATTTTCAGAGGTAGGGCAAGTCATGTGATCACTCAGTTTTTTCCATATTCGCCCTTACAGAGAACAAATTTAAATTAAAAAAAAGAGATTATAATAACTTCGTAAATAAGAAGTTAATTAATTTCATCGATTCAAAAGGGATAAAATATAATTAACAACAGAAGCTTACAAACTTGGTTCATTATTATTGACTTTCAATAATTATAAGCCAAGTAAAGGTTACTGTAACAATGGCTAAAATATTAAAATTCTAAAAATAAACAATTTTTCGAAACAAATCATCGAGACAAAATGAAATTGGACAATAAAGCATGTATAATACTTTACATCAATTTATTGTCAACAACAAAATAATCATCATTCCTTTCGAAATAAAATTTCCTAATTAAAAATTCTTTCAAAAAAAAGAAGAAAACAGAGATTAAAGACACTGAATTTTTCAAATTTTAATTTTCTGTTATGAAAATTAATATTAGTCAATTACAATATTCTCTTCATCTTTTTTTTGTAAATTAAAAAATATGAGATTTATACATGAAAATAGATAAGTTGGTCGATTCTTATAATATTACATTTATAAAAATTAATCAGTTACTTTACGTATTTTAATTATCTGTAACACACTTTAACAACATGACTAAAAATAATTTTTTTTTCTAAAAAAATTTCTTTTCTCTATTACTCACTGAACTACTTTCTCAAAAATATTGACTTGTGCGCCCCACGTTGGGCGCCAAATTGTAACGCTTTTTTCTACACTATTATTATAAGGAAACTAAATGGAACATTAATAATAAACAATCATTTATAAATCCAAAATAGTTCTGAAACTATAATTTTAAAGTTACTGTAACTGAATTCTAAGACAACTTTACATACTCAAAATCTGATTTTATCCGAATTTCAATATTTAACTAAAGAAAACGTTACTTGTGCAATCTAGTTCTTTATAGTTTGTCTAGGTGGTCCCCGGTAGGGCGCCAGACAACTTTTGTATCGCCGGTATTGTCAACCGGACTAAAACATAATTAATCAAAAATCATTAAATCAAACATTACTCAATACTTAATTAAGACCGACTAAACAAACATTAATATTAACTAGATTTTTTGCACGTGCCGGTACTAGTCAGCTATGCTGGTCGTGGAGAGAGGGGTGAGTTTTGTATTTAAGAAAGAGAAGGTAGTTTAAAACACAGTGACGGAATTATAAATAAATTAACAATCGATTAGATAAAAATAATTAAGTATATTGTACCAACGAAATTAAATTGACAAGTTACAATAAATAGTGATGATCATTTTGTCGTTTATAATTAATAATTAAAATAATAAAAAACCATAAGCAGAATTACTTGAGTATTCTGGATTATAACAAAGAACCATAAATAATATAAATAACTTACAGATTCTGTATCGATGATAAGTTGACTCGTGATAGGGATTATGATTTCATTTTGCACTTTAAATTTATTATTTATTAAAGAAAACATTAAGCTAATAATTAATTGGAATATTAAACTCACTGTAACATATTATTTAACAATTCGAAACCATAAAAGAATTAAACTGTAACTAAAGTAAAACTGATTCTAAATCTATTACATTTTTACTAAAACCGGAGAAATTAACTAACGATTTTAACACAACAAGGGATCGATGACAAGAGAGAGATTCAAAAGGTTTTGCAGAATTATTTTAAATTGGGAATTAGTACTGAATTTTGGCGTTAGGTGACTTATCGGTATTCTCGATATTTCCATACAAAAAGGGGGTTTTCTCCTACCTTGCTTCTCCCAGAATTCTGAATTACTAATACTATGATACTTAAACTAAAACGACTTTTCCTATGGCAAGATTGCGACCTTCTTGACCATAGGAACCTGTCAATTAACCCAAAAGGAGAGCTTCTTTGCCAAACGAAGTCGCTTTCGTTTGACAAAGCCTGCCAACTCACTAAAACTAAACTAATTTATCAAAATTCCTTAGTATGGAAAGCCAATGTTTCAATTGAACTTCTGCTAAGTGTACAATAATTACTTAAACAAATACTAAAACAGACACTGTAACAAATTTACTTTAACAAAGACAATTAATATTACCAAAATTCAAATACTAGAAAAAATGTTCTCAGATTAGTGCTTTTGTGACGTAAATCGTAAAAATAACGTCACAATATATATATATATATATATGTTTGTTAAAAAACAATTGACTGTTGTTCCGTCTGCCATTTTAATTTTACTTTTTTGCGGTTTGTTTGTGCTTTGTAAAAATGTTTTCACAAGGTAAAAATAAATGTAAAAGGAAGGCACCTTCGAAAAAATTCATACCCATTGCACATCAGGAGCGAGATGTACCTTTAGATCTATATAAATCTGAGGATAGGTGCTATCGTGACATTAAGAGGTATCATTTGGATAAGGAAGGAAAAGATCCAGGAACGAACGGGAAGCCCTTTCGGTTAGTATATATATTTCTAAAGATTTTTTTAACAATTTATTCCAATAATTACATTAAGAATCGCGTAGTATTTTCGCACGTATGAATTACTAAAAATTTTTTAAAATTAATTTCCGATCTTTTTTGAACGAATTCAGTATAAAATTCTGGCGAATTCTTTAAAAATTATTCAACAATTTTTTTTCTTAATTCCGCTAGGAATTCAGTACTTTTTCCGAACGTATTAATTGCTAAAAAAAATTTTATTACATGTTTTGACCTCTTTTCCAAACCTAATTCTATACAAAATTCGGACGAATTTCTAAAGATTTTGTCCACAATTTATTCTAAAAATTACATTAGGAATCGCGTAGTATTTTCGCACGTATTAATTACTAAAACCTTTTTTAAATTAATTTCCTATCTTTTCTTCGAATGAATTCTGTATAAAATTCAGGCGAATTTCTTACGAATTCCGCTAGGAATTCAGTAGTTTTTCCGTACCTAATTTTTAATAAAAAAAATTTTTAAATTAATTTCCGACCTTTTTTCTAAACGAATTCAGTGTAAATTTCGGGTGAATTTCTTTTGAATTTTTCAACAATTTTTTTAAGTTCAGCTAGGAATTCAGTAGTTTTTCCAAACGTATTAATTGCTAAAAAATTTTTTATTATATTTTTTTACCTTTTTTCCAAACCTAATTCTGTACAAAATTCCGACGAATTTGTAAAGATGTTTTTAACAATTTATTCTAAAATTTACATTAGGAATCGAGTAGTATTTTCGCACGTATTAATTGTCAAAACCTTTTTTAAATTAATTTCCGATCTTTTATCCTAATGAATTCTGTATAATATTTGGCAGAAGTTCTTACGAATTTTTCAAGAATTTTTTTTAAAAATTGTCCTAGGAATTCAGTAGTTTTTCCAAACCTAATTTTTGCTAAAAAATTTTTTAAAATTAATTTTCGACCTTTTTTCTGAACGAATTTAGTGTAAATTTCGAGTGTGAGATAAAATAAAAAAATTAAATAAAAAAAAATAATAAAAAAAAAAAAAAAATTTAAATAAAAAAAATTGTTCAAAAATTCAAAAAAAATTTTTTTTGAATTTTTGAACAATTTTTTTTATTTCCGCTAGGAATTCAGTAGTTTTTCCGAACGTACTAATTGCTAAAAAAATTTTATTATATTTTTTGACCTTTCTTCCAAACCTAATTCTGTACAAAATTCGGACGAATTTTTAAAGATGTTCTCAACAATTTATTTTAAAAATTACATTAGGAATCGAGTAGTATTTTCGCACGTATTAATTGCTAAACATTTTTTGAAATTAATTTTCGATCTTTTCTCCGAATGAATTCTGTATAATATTCGGGCGAAGTTCATACGAATTTTTCAAAAATTCTTATAGAAATTCAGTAGTTTTTCCGAACGTAATAATTGCTAAAAAAATTTTTTATAACATTTTTTGACCTCTTTTTCAAACCTTATTCTATACTAATTCGGACGAGTTTCTAAAGATTTTTTCAACAATTTATTCTAAAAATTGCATTAGAAATCGCGTAGTTTTTCGCACGTATTAACTGTTAAACATTTTTTAAAATAAATATCCGATCTTTTTTCCGCATGAATTCTGTATAGGGGAGAGTGGGGCAAACCTGACCCCTCTTAAAAGTGCTACTTAGAAATTTGAAACCACCATGTGTAGTATACCTCATTTTTTCCATTTGACAATTTTTACTTTTGTTTGTGCAACGCTGGGAGCAAAAGTTTTTTTTGTTGTTTTTTTCACTTTTACGAATTTTTCTTTAAGAAATTCTGAGGAAATCGTGTAAACTTTCCAAATATTAGGTCTTGGGTTTTGAAGGTACACACCTCAGGAATATTTACCACCAAAAACTTTGATGAATTTGTAAAGCGTTTCTTTTTAACAAATATTTATTCTCAAAATGAGCCTGTGGGGCAAACCGGCCATAGGATATTTTCATTGTATCAGAGTTTCAAAAAAAATATTATCAATTAGAATATTTTTTTCATTAAAATATTTACTTTCAATGAAAATTAATTATCTTCCAATGAGAATTAGACCCTTTAATATTGTTTCTCTGATAATTTCAAACATTTTTTTTTGATATTTAAAAAAATTATTTATTTAATTAAAATTCAATCCTGTATTATTATTTACATTATTACAAGCATTGTTCGCATGATTCTTTATGTTTGTTGTTATTGTAGATTATAAAAATGCAATATTATAGATAAAAAACGTAGGTGGTCGGTTTACCCCAGGGGGTGGGGCAAATTGTCCCGTTTGCAAATTTTTTTTAAGTTAACACAGCAACTAAACAATGAAAGATAAAGTATAGGTGCCTCTGGAAAAAAGTTGCGCAATTAAATGATCTTTCAAACAAGCCACCGGAAAATAAAATCGGTTGATTCGTTTAGTCACAAGAGTCAAAAAACCGTAGGTATGGCTGGTTTGCCCCACTCTCCCCTAATAATAAGTAAATAAAAATTTATAATTTTATAAATTTCTTATAATTATTATTATTATTATATTTTAGGTATGTACGATGTTCTGACAGCAGAAACGCTGTCGATTGTTCGGGCACTGGGAAGATGTATGGTACGGGAAAGCCTAAAGACCCTTTTTACATTGTCTATTCACGTCCTCACGTGAAAGACTGCAAAAACAAACTGGAAGAGGGGAAATTTCTGAAGAGGCTTCACCAAGAGTCACTAACTACAGTTAGTGACCATAGAGCAGCTTACGATGCTGCAAAAAGAAAGTGATTTATATGTCTCTCTATATTATAAAAAGATTTCGCCGCCGAATACAGTGTTTTAAAGTCGAATGTCAAAAGTCAAAGATAAAAGATCATAGGTCATAGGTCAATCAATCAGGTCAAACATCATAGGTCAAGAGACGAACATAACCTCAAAATCAGCGGTCCAAGATCATAGGTCACGAGACGAACATAACATAATTAGATCATAGGTCACAGGGCAAACATAATCACAAATTTAGGTGAAAATGATAGTTTAGAAAGCAAACATAACCTCAAAATTATGTCAAAATGATAGGTCAGAAAGCAAACATAACTTTAAAATTAGGTAGAAATGATAGGTTAGGGCAAACAAAACCTCAATCTTTTTTCTTAATTTTACATTTTTCTACTTGTGAACCAGTTTTGTAATTCCTCAAGAAAATTCATCAAGTTGTCCGGAAATTAGCTACAGTTCTTCCTGAAAACCTTAAAATAATATTTCAATTTACGGTTCTGCAGCATTTATAGTTTTTTCCCATATCCTAAATTATTAAATAAATTTTGTAACAATTCTTAAACAAAGATTTTCCGTGTATGAGGTATCTTGCTTGACAAGCTTCTCACAAGGTTACTGGAATATTATACAATAATTTTTATCACAAACATTTTTTCATTCTTCTAAGAATTTTATTGAATTTTTAAAAATAGATAAATTAATTATACCGCATTAGAAAAGAACGGTGTCTCACAAAGAAAAATATTTTTCCAGCGAACCATTAGGAGCAAGCAGTACAACATACTGTGAAAAGAAGAGTTCAATAAGTAGGTGGTCCAAAAGCGAGGCACCACCTATCCCAAACGACATATGTCTTCTTCCAGTCACATTAAATAGTGAAGTTTGGCAGAAGAGATTGGCTTACTATTTGGATGTAGATGCAGAAGAAGAGAATAAAAAAACCAGGGTGAAGCACTTGTGGAAGGTGGACGGTGCTACAGATACCGATGGACTCTCAGTCACCTTTTTGATTCCGAGCACAATTCCCGAAGAGTGCAAAATCGCCTCATACGGGTTTTGTGACTCAACATATCAAAGTGTTCCTTCCTTATATGGAGCAGCACAACTGTTTGTTTTCGGAGTAGAGTCTTACGGACAGGTATACATGTTTGTATGTTTGAATCTTTGTATGTATGATTGTATGTATGTGTATATGTTTGTATTTTTGTATCTTTGAATGTTTTATGTGTTACGTATGTTTGTATGCGTATATATTTGTATGTATGTATATGTATGTTTGTATATTTATTTGTATGTTTGAATGTTTGTATATAACTATGCGTGTATGTTTCTTTGTATGTTCGTTTGCTTGTAAAAAATTATTCATGTATGTTCGACTTTTTGAATGTTTGTATGTATGTATGCACACATACATATTAACACTGAGAGAACGATTTATCTGATTTAAACATATTTTGTTTAAATCAAACTTAAAATATCTTTGCTATACAGTCAAACATATTTAACTTTTATTAACAAATATTTTTTGGTTCATTTAAAAAAATAATATATTTCATTTAAACATAAGTTATAGTTGATTTTAAATTATTTATAATCAATTTTCAAGTTTGATGCAAACGTAAAACTTTTAAACATAATTTTTGTTTAAATAATAACAGAAAATATGTTTAAATTAAACATAATTATTCAAACAAATAATATCTTTGAATCAAAGCAGTAGATATTTTCTGTATATTGCGGGATTAAGCTTACAAACTTATTTCAATTAAACAAAATCACTTAAAATTATTTCTCTATTTGAATTAAGTATAATGTTTCCTCTGTATGTATGTATGTATGTATGTATGTATGTATGTACCTGAAAATCCGTCATATCCACCAACATCACCGTCATCAGAACTCTCCTTCACCGCCATGTCATCTCAGTCAGACTTATATTTTACGCCTCCCTCATACCCGCTCATACAATCTGTAAATGTTTCTTCAACGAAAGAATAAATTATATGTTCTAAAATTTCGTATTTTAATATTTTTTAAAAATTAATGGTATTTTATTTAGTAGTCAATTAATGTAAACTCTTTTAACAAAAAGACTTTTTTGCTCCATTCTCAAACTTTTTGAAAAATCTTTTTATACTTGATTCAAAACTAGAAAAACTTTAGTTAATCGAGAAAAAAATTTACTGTTTTTAAAATTTTGAATTTCATATTTTTTTTGGCTACCTTCATCAAATGTGACAATTTTTTAGAAAATCTTCGGATTTCTTTGCTTCCTTTTCAAACCTTTAAAAAAATCTTTTATACTGCATACGAAACTGGAAAAATCTTTTATGATGAAAAAAAATTTCCTGTTTTTAAAATTTTTGAATTTTATTTTTCTTTTGGCTAAATTCATCGAAAGTGAAAATTTTTTCAGAAACTCTTTGAATTTCTTTGCTCCATTCTCAAACCTTTAAAAAAAATTTTTATAGTGGTTACGAAACTGGAAAAACTTTTAATAATGGAGAGAAAAATTTCCTGTTTTTAAAATTTTGGAATTTTCTTTTTCTTGGCTAAGATCAACGATGTGAAAATTTTTTCAGAAAATGTTTGGATATCTTTGCTCTCTTCTCAAAGCTTTAAAAAAATCTGTTTATACTGGATACGAAACAGGAAAAACCTTTAATGGTGGAGAAAAAAAATTTCCTGTTTATAAAATTTTGGAATTTTCTTATTTTGGCTCAGTTCATCAAATGTGGAAATTTTTTTTGAAAATCTTCGAATTTCTTTACTCTCTTCTTAAACCTTTAAAAAAATCTTTTATACTGCATACGAAACTGGAAAAACATTTTATGATGTAGAAAAAAATTTCCTGTTTTTAAAATTTTGGAATTTTCTTTTTCTTTTGGCCAAATTCATCGAATGTGAAAATTTTTTCAGAAAATCTTTGGATATCTTTGCTCCCTTCTCAAAGCTTTAAAGAAATCTCTTTATAGTGGATACGAAACTGGAAAAACCTTTAATGGTAGAGACAAAAAATTTCCTGTTTATAAAATTTTGGAATTTTCTTTTTTTAGCTCAGTTTATCGAATGTTGAAATTTTTTTTGAAAATTTTCGGATTTCTTTGCTCCCTTTTCAAACCTTAAAAAAAAACTTTTTATAGTGGATACGAAACTGGAAAAACCTTTTGATGTAGAAAAAAAATTCCTGTTTTTAAAATTTTGAAATTTTTTTTTTGGCTAAGATCATCGAATGTGAAAATTTTTTCAGAACATCTTTGGATATCTTTGCTCCCTTCTCAAAGCTTTAAAAAAATCTGTTAATTTTGAATACGAAACAGGAAAAACCTTTGATGGTAGAGAAAAAAAATTTCCTGTTTTATAAACAGGAAATTAAAACAGAAATTAAAACAGAAAAATAAAAATACAAAAATTTTATAATTTTTGTATTTTTATTTTTTTTTGGCTAAGTTCATCAAATGTGAAAATTTTTTCAGAAAATCTTTGGATTTCATTGCTCCCTTCTTAAACCTTTTGAAAAATCTTTTTATACTGGATACAAAACTGTAAAAACCTTTAATGATGGAGAAAAAAGTTTCCTGTTTTTAAAATTTTTGTATTTTAATTTTTTTTGGCTAAGTTCATCGAATGTTAATTTTTTTTAGAAAATCTTCGAATTTCTTTGCTCTCTTCTTAAACCTTTAAAAAAATCTTTTAATACTGGATACGAAACTGGAAAAACCTTTAATGGCAGAGAAAAAAGTTTTTTGTTTTTAAAATTTTGGAATTTTCTTTTTTTTTGGCTCAGTTCATCGAATGTGAAAATTTTTTCAGAAAATATTTGTTTCTCCCTTCTCAAACCTTTAAAAAAATCTTTTTATAGTGGATACAAAACTGGAAAAACCTTTAATGATGGAGAAAAGAAGTTCCTGTCTTTAATAATTTTTAATTTTTGTAATAAATAAATTACTGGTATTAAAAATAGTAAAAAATTAATCTCTCAAAAGGACGGGTAAAAATGATTCCAGGACGCATTATTATTCTCCAAATATAATTTTTCTGAAATATCATTTTACCGAACTGCATTTTTGCGACTAGTAATTTTCGCGAAAAGTCATTTTTCGAAATTGTCATTTTTGCGAATCGCTATTTTTACGAATTATTAATTTTGCGAAAAGTCATTTTTTCGAAAATTACAATAGTAAATTAGTTTGCATATATACATTTACTATATAAATCTTTGCAAAAATGACTTTTCTAATTAAAAGTTTTTCAGCTATTTAAATTTTGCCGCAAAATTGACGTTGAATGCAGGTGACTGGGGAAAGACAAAAAAATGAAAATTAATTAATAAACTAAAATAAATTTATTTATTAACTATTAATTAAAGTAAAAAATTAATGCTTTTCCCCTTTTCCTGTAATTAATTTCTGTAGCAATTAAAAAGATACGTTTTGGAAAAAGAAATAGGAAAAGAATGCTATCAAAATTGAGGTTATATGTGTACTTTTAAAGAAAAAATTTAATTTTCAATAATTAATTGGGAAAAATAAAATAAACGTTAATTAACGGTAAATTATTATATATTTTACTTACCAGTTAAAACTTTTTTCAGAAGACCTTTCAATAATGTATAAAATTAATTCTTTTAACGTAATAACAATAATAATATAATGGTATTAGTATTATAGTTAATTATATATTATTATTATTATTATTATTATTATTATTAATATTATTGCTTCCTCATAAAGGAAGCCTTATAGTGATGTCGATTTCCGAATTTTTTAGAATCAATTATTTTTACAAATTTTCAAGTGTAGTATATATAATTCGTCGAGAGGAACAAATGTCCGGATGTATGTGTGTATGTATGTGTGTGTGTGTATGTCACCGATTCTTGTGGACAAATTTTCTCTTACACGTCTTGACGGATTTTGATAAAATTTTGTAGGTGTATTACGGTCATGAATACTAAAAATCAGACAGAAGGATTTTCAAAAATATCTAAAAAAAAATTTTTCAACAATTTTTTAATTTTTGAAAAAATTAATTTTTGGATTTTTTAAAATAACTTTTTTCTATATTAAAATTTTCATTAATTCTTGTCAAAATTGCATTCCTGACATAAAAACGAATCGATTCATGTATATAAAGTATATATTTTATCAATATTTATAGAATTAATAAATATTTTAGATTTTCATAAAAAAATTGAAATTTTGTATTTTTTGAAATTTTATCTTAATACTTTAAAACATTATTTTTTTGGATTTATTAAAAAGAAGATTTATTAATTATATTTAATAAACTATTATAATTATTTAACTTTTAAAATTATATATAATAATATATATTGAGGAAGCTTAATGGTCATGAAATGAACAACTTGTTATTATTATTATTGTTATTATTATTATTTTTATTATTATATTTTTAATTATTTATTACAATTGTAATTATTATATTTATAATTATTTATTACAATTATATTTATTACATTTATAATTATTTATTACAATTATAATAATCATTATTTTAATTATATACTATAATTATAATTATTATAATTATAATAATTTTATTTATAATTATTTATTATAATATTATAATTATAGTTTATATTTATTTTTAAAATCCTGTAATTTAATTTTATTCGTACTAATTAAATTTTGCAACCCGTGTAAAGCTCAAATAATTTCCCAGAGACATCTACAGGATTTATTCTATAACTTATTTGTTCAATTTCCCTTCTATTGAAATAGCTACTCTTGGCCTCAAAATGCTGATCGTCTTTTCTTTCTGTGAATTGCTTTTTCTGTGAATTGACAACTTAACGTTTGTTAAAAAACAATTGACTGTTGTTCCGTCTGCCATTTTACTTTTTTGCGGTTTGTTTGTGCTTCGTAAAAATGTTTTCACAGGGTAAAAATAAATGTAAAAGGAAGGCACCTTCGAAAAAATTCATACCCATTGCACATCAGGAGCGAGATGTACCTTTAGATCTATATAAATCTGAGGATAGGTGCTATCGTGACATTAAGAGGTATCATTTGGATAAGGAAGGAAAAGATCCAGGAACGAACGGGAAGCCCTTTCGGTTAGTATATATATTTCTAAAGATTTTTTTAACAATTTATTCCAATAATTACATTAAGAATCGCGTAGTATTTTCGCACGTATGAATTACTAAAAATTTTTAAAAATTAATTTCCGATCTTTTTTGAACGAATTCTGGCGAATTCTTTACGAATTATTCAACAATTTTTTTTTCTAAATTCCGCTAGGAATTCAGTACTTTTTCCGAACGTATTAATTGCTAAAAAAAATTTTATTACATGTTTTGACCTCTTTTCCAAACCTAATTCTATACAAAATTCGGACGAATTTCTAAAGATTTTGTCCACAATTTATTCTAAAAATTACATTAGGAATCGCGTAGTATTTTCGCACGTATTAGTTGCTAAAAATTTTTTAAATTAATTTCCTATCTTTTACCCGAATGAATTCTGTATAAAATTCGGGCGAATTTCTTACGAATTCCGCTAGGAATTCAATAGTTTTTCTAAACCTGATTTTTGCTAAAAAAATTTTAAAAATTAATTTCCGACCTTTTTTCAGAACGAATTCAGTGTAAATTTCGGGTGAATTTTTTTTGAAATTTTCAACAATTTTTTTTAAATTCAGCTAGGAATTCAGATGTTTTTCCAAACGTACTAATTGCTAAAAAAATTTTTATTATATTTTTTGACCTTTTTTCCAATCCTAATTCTGTACAAAATTCGGACGAATTTTTAAAGATGTTCTCAACAATTTATTCTAAAATTTACATTAGAAATCGCATAGTATTTTCGCACGTATTAATTGCTAAAACCTTTTTTAAATTAATATCCGATCTTTTGTCCGAATGAATTCTGTATAAAATTCGGGCGAATTTCTTACGAGTTCCGCTAGAAATTCAGTATTTTTCCAAACTTAATTTTTGCTACAAAAATTTTTAAAGTGTATTTCCGACCTTTTTTTTAAGGGACTATTCAAGTATTACGTAAACATTTAAGGGGGAGGGGGGTCTAGCTATTGCTTATTTCCATTAGAAAAATGGCGCTAATGCATATAAAAAATCTGACATGGGGGGGTCTAAAATCCTGAAAAATATGCTTACGTAATACTTGAATAGCCCCTAAACGAATTCAGTGTAAATTTCGGTCAAATATCGTTTGAATTTTTGAACAATTTTTTTTATTTCCGCTAGGAATTCAGTAGTTTTTCCGAACGTACTAATTGCTAAAAAAATTTTATTATATTTTTTTACCTTTCTTCCAAACCTAATTCTGTACAAAATTCGGACGAATTTTTAAAGATGTTCTCAACAATTTATTTTAAAAATTACATTAGGAATCGAGTAGTATTTTCGCACGTATTAATTGCTAACTATTTTTGGAAATTAAATTCCGATCTTTTCTCCGAATGAATTCTGTGTAATATTCGAGCGAAGTTCTTACGAATTTTTCAACAATTTTTTTAAAAATTCTTATAGAAATTCAGTAGTTTTTCCGAACGTAATAATTGCTAAAAAAAATTTTTATAACATTTTTTGACCTCTTTTTCAAACCTTATTCTATACTAATTCGGACGAGTTTCTGCAGATTTTTTCAACAATTTATTCTAAAAATTGCATTAGAAATCGCGTAGTTTTTCGCACGTATTAACTGTTAAACATTTTTTAAAATAAATATCCGATCTTTTTTCCGCATGAATTCTGTATAAGGGAGTGTGGGGCAAACCTTACCCCTCTTAAATAATTTCAAACATTTTTTTTGTTATTTAAAAAAATTATTTATTTAACTAAAATTCAATCCTGTATTATTATTTACATTATTACAAGCATTGTTCGCATGATTTTTTATGTTTGTTGTTATTGTAGATTATAAAAATGCAATATTATAGATAAAAAACGTAGGTGGCCGGTTTACCCCAGGGGGTGGGGCAAACCGGCCCGTTTGCAAATTTTTTTTAAGTTAACACAGCAACTAAAAAATGAAAGATAAAGTATAGGTGCCTCTGGAAAAAAGTTGCGCAATTAAATGATCTTTCACAGAAGCCATCGGAAAATAAAAACGGTTAATTCGTTTAGTCACAAGAGTCAAAAAACCGTAGGTATGGCCGGTTTGCCCTACTCTCCCCTAATAATAAGTAAATAAAAAAATTATAATTTTATAAATTTCTTATAATTATTATTATTATTATTATATTTTAGGTATGTACGATGTTCTGACAGCAGAAACGCTGTCGATTGTTCGGGCACTGGGAAGAGGTATGGTACGGGAAAGCCTGAAGATCCTTTTTACACTGTCTGTTCACGTCCTCACGTGAAAGACTGCAAAAACAAACTGGAAGAGGAGAAATTTCTGAAGAGGCTTCACCAAGGGTCACTAACCACGGTTAGTGACCATAGAACAGCTTACGATGCTGCAAAAAAAAGGTGATTTATATGTCTCTCTATATTATAAAAAATTTTGCCGCCGGATTCAGTGTTTTAAAGTCAAATGTCAAAAGTCAAAGATCAAAGATCATAGGTCATAGGTCAAGAGACGAACATAACCTTAAAATCAGGTCAAACATCATAGGTCAAGAGACGAACATAACCTCAAAATCAGCCCTGCTGGAAGAATGAACTAAAAAAGTACTAAAATTGTTCTGGTCTCTAGTACAATTTCAGTCCGTTTTTTAAATGTTTCGGTAGACATTTTTAAAGTCCTTTACCAATAGTTTCAAATTTAGGTTATGTCCACAAACCATCGTTAACAGTTTAGAAGTGAAAATAAAAAAAGGTTAACAAAATTTTCAACGAAATTCCTGTTAAATTTTAAACTTATATTGCAACCCCTGCTTTAACAATAGACCCGAAAGCCTATTGTTGTATGGGATTATAATTTTATGGCTTAAAAAGTTTACAGTTTAAATAATTCAATTTTCAAAACAAAAAAATTTGAATCTGTGATGTTTTATGATTACAAATATCTAAAATTCATTATAAAAAATGTTTAATTAAAAAAGTTATAAACTATCTCGCAAACTCTAATTGTTACGTAAAAACGGATATTATTTTTGAATTTAGATTAACATGAATATTTAGCATACATAATAATTACTTGTAAAGAATCTGAGTTCATGAAAAACAAATATAATGTTGAAATATAAATAAAATTTATATTTAACATTAACAAAGAAATATTCGTCCTTCAACTTAATGACGGTCAGGCCATAAACATCACCGATAGCGACCCTTTTGCAGGTAATTTTTCCCAGTACAATTTCAGTGCTGAAACGCAGCAAATTTTCACTAAAATAGCACAGAGCTCTCAGTACTAATTCCCCAGTACAATTTCAGTCCATTCTTCCGGCAGGGAGGTCCAAGATCATAGGTCAAGAGACGAACACAACCTTAAAATTAGGTCATAGGTCACAGGGCAAACATAATCTCAAATTTAGATCAAAATGATAGTTTAGAAAGCAAACATAACCTCAAAATTATGTCAAAATGATAGGTCAGAAAGCAAACATAACTTTAAAATTAGGTAGAAATGATAGGTTAGGGCAAACAAAACCTCAATCTTTTTTCTTAATTTTACATTTTTCTACTTGTGAACCAGTTTTGTAATTCCTCAAGAAAATTCATCAAGTTGTCCGGAAATTAGCTACAGTTCTTCCTGAAAACCTTAAAATAATATTTCAATTTACGGTTCTGCAGCATTTATAGTTTTTTTCCATATCCTAAATTATTAAATAAATTTTGTAACAATTCTTAAACAAAGATTTTCCGTGTATGAGGTATCTTGCTTGACAAGCTTCTCACAAGGTTACTGGAATATTATACAATAATTTTTATCACAAACATTTTTTCATTCTTCTAAGAATTTTATTGAATTTTTAAAAATAGATAAATTAATTATACCGCATTAAAAAAGAACGGTGTCTCACAAAGAAAAATATTTTTCCAGCGAACCATTAGGAGCAAGCAGTACAACATACTGTGAAAAGAAGAGTTCAATAAGTAGGTGGTCCAAAAGCGAGGCACCACCTATCCCAAACGACATATGTCTTCTTCCAGTCATATTAAATAGTGAAGTTTGGCAGAAGAGATTGGCTTACTATTTGGATGTAGATGCAGAAGAAGAGAATAAAAAAACCAGGGTGAAGCACTTGTGGAAGGTGGACGGTGCTACAGATACCGATGGACTCCCAGTCACCTTTTTGATTCCGAGCACAATTCCCGAAGAGTGCAAAATCGCCTCATACGGGTTTTGTGACTCAACATATCAAAGTGTTCCTTCCTTATATGGAGCAGCACAACTGTTTGTTTTCGGAGTAGAGTCTTACGGACAGGTATACATGTTTGTATGTTTGAATCTTTGTATGTATGATTGTATGTATGTGTATATGTTTGTATTTTTGTATCTTTGAATGTTTTATGTGTTACGTATGTTTGTATGCGTATATATTTGTATGTATGTATATGTATGTTTGTATATTTATTTGTATGTTTGAATGTTTGTATATAACTATGCGTGTATGTTTCTTTGTATGTTCGTTTGCTTGTAAAAAATTATTCATGTATGTTCGACTTTTTGAATGTTTGTATGTATGTATGCACACATACATATTAACACTGAGAGAACGATTTATCTGATTTAAACATATTTTGTTTAAATCAAACTTAAAATATCTTTGCTATACAGTCAAACATATTTAACTTTTATTAACAAATATTTTTTGGTTCATTTAAAAAAATAATATATTTCATTTAAACATAAGTTATAGTTGATTTTAAATTATTTATAATCAATTTTCAAGTTTGATGCAAACGTAAAACTTTTAAACATAATTTTTGTTTAAATAATAACAGAAAATATGTTTAAATTAAACATAATTATTCAAACAAATAATATCTTTGAATCAAAGCAGTAGATATTTTCTGTATATTGCGGGATTAAGCTTACAAACTTATTTCAATTAAACAAAATCACTTAAAATTATTTCTCTATTTGAATTAAGTATAATGTTTCCTCTGTATGTATGTATGTATGTATGTACCTGAAAATCCGTCATATCCACCAACATCACCGTCATCAGAACTCTCCTTCACCGCCATGTCATCTCAGTCAGACTTATATTTTACGCCTCCCTCATCCCCGCTCATACAATCTGTAAATGTTTCTTGAACGAAAGAATAAATTATATGGTCTAAAATTTCGTATTTTAATATTTTTTAAAAATTAATGGTATTTTATTTAGTAGTCAATTAATGTTAACTCTTTTAACTAAAAGACTTCTTTGCTCCATTCTCAAACTTCTTGAAAAATCTTTTTATACTTGATTCAAAACTAGTAAAACTTTAGTTAATCGAGAAAAAAATTTACTGTTTTTAAAATTTTGAATTTCATATTTTTTTTGGCTACCTTCATCAAATGTGACAATTTTTTAGAAAATCTTCGGATTTCTTTGCTTCCTTTTCAAACCTTTAAAAAAATCTTTTATACTGCATACAAAACTGGAAAAACCTTTTATGATGTAGAAAAAAAATTTCCTGTTTTTAAAATTTTGGAATTTTCTTTTTTTTTTGGCTAAGATCATCGAATGTGAAAATTTTTTTAGAAAATCTTTAGATATATTTGCTCCCTTCTCAAAGCTTTAAAAAAATCTGTTTATACTGGATACGAAACAGAAAAAACCTTTAATGGTAGAGACAAAAAATTTCCTGTTTTTAAAATTTTGGAATTTTATTTTTCTTGGCTAAGATCAACGAATGTGAAAATTTTTTCAGAAAATCTTTGGATATCTTTGCTCCCTTCTCAAAGCTTTAAAAAAATCTGTTTATACTGGATACGAAACAGGAAAAACCTTTAATGGTAGAGAAAAGAAATTTCCTGTTTATAAAATTTTGGAATTTTCTTTTTTTGGCTCAGTTCATCAAATGTGAAATTTTTTTTTGAAAATCTTCGGATTTCTTTACTCTCTTCTTAAACCTTTAAAAAAATCTTTTATACTGCATACAAAACTGAAAAAACATTTTATGATGTAGAAAAAAATTTCCTGTTTTAAAAATTTTTGAATTTTCTTTTTCTTTTGGCTAAATTCATCGAATGTGAAATTTTTTTTAGAAAATCTTCGAATTTCTTTGCTCCCTTTTCAAACCTTTTAAAAAATCTCTTTATAGTGGATACGAAACTGGAAAAACCTTTAATGATGGAGAAAAAAATTTCCTGTTTTTAAAATTTTCTTTTTTTTGGCTAAGATCATCGAATGTGAAAATTTTTTTAGAAAATCTTTAGATATATTTGCTCCCTTCTCAAAGCTTTAAAAAAATCTGTTTATACTGGATACGAAACAGAAAAAACCTTTAATGGTAGAGACAAAAAATTTCCTGTTTATAAAATTTTGGAATTTTCTTTTTTTAGCTCAGTTCATCGAATGTTGATATTTTTTTTTAAAATCTTCGGATTTCTTTGCTCCCTTCTTAAACCTTAAAAAAAATCTTTTTATAGTGGATACGAAACTGGAAAAACCTTTTGATGTAGAAAAAAAATTCCTGTTTTTCAAATTTTGAAATTTTTTTTTTTGGCTAAGATCATCGAATGTGAAAATTTTTTCAGAACATCTTTGGATATCTTTGCTCCCTTCTCAAAGCTTTAAAAAAATATGTTTATATTGAATACGAAACAGGAAAAACCTTTGATGGTAGAGAAAAAAAATTTCCTGTTTATAAAATTTTTGTATTTTCATTTTTTTTGGCTAAGTTCATCGAATGTGAAAATTTTTTCAGAAAATCTTTGGATTTCATTGCTCCCTTCTTAAACCTTTTGAAAAATATTTTTATACTGGATACAAAACTGGAAAAACCTTTAATGATGGAGAAAAAAATTTCCTGTTTTTAAAATTTTGAATTTCATATTTTTTTTGGATAAGTTCATCAAATGTGAAAATTTTTTCAGAAAATCTTTGGATATCTTTGCTCCCTTCTCAAAGCTTTAAAAAAATCTGTTTATACTGGATACGAAACAGGAAAAACCTTTAATGGTAGAGAAAAGAAATTTCCTGTTTATAAAATTTTGGAATTTTCTTTTTTTGGCTCAGTTCATCAAATGTGGAAATTTTTTTTGAAAATCTTCGGATTTCTTTACTCTCTTCTTAAACCTTTAAAAAAATCTTTTATACTGCATACGAAACTGGAAAAACATTTTATGATGTAGAAAAAAATTTCCTGTTTTTAAAACTTTGAATTTTCTTTTTCTTTTGGCTAAATTCATCGAATGTGAAATTTTTTTTAGAAAATCTTCGAATTTCTTTGCTCCCTTTTCAAACCTTTTAAAAAATCTCTTTATAGTAGATACGAAAGTGGAAAAACCTTTTATAATGTAAAAAAAAATTTCCTGTTTTTAAAATTTTAGAATTTTCTTTTTTTGTCTCAGTTCATCGAATGTAAAAATTTTTTCAGAAAATCTTTGGATTTCATTGCTTTTTTCTCAAACCTTTAAAAAAATATTTTTATAGTGGATACGAAACTGGAAAAACCTTTAATGATGGAGAAAAAAATTTCCTGTTTTTAAAATTTTGGAATTTTCTTTTTTTTGGCTAAGATCATCGAATGTGAAAATTTTTTTAGAAAATCTTTAGATATATTTGCTCCCTTCTCAAAGCTTTAAAAAAATCTGTTTATACTGGATACGAAACAGAAAAAACCTTTAATGGTAGAGACAAAAAATTTCCTGTTTATAAAATTTTGGAATTTTCTTTTTTTAGCTCAGTTCATCGAATGTTGAAATTTTTTTTTAAAATCTTCGGATTTCTTTGCTTCCTTCTCAAACCTTAAAAAAAATCTTTTTATAGTGGATACGAAACTGGAAAAACCTTTTGATGTAGAAAAAAAATTCCTGTTTTTGAAATTTTGAAATTTTTTTTTTTGGCTAAGATCATCGAATGTGAAAATTTTTTCAGAACATCTTTGGATATCTTTGCTCCCTTCTCAAAGCTTTAAAAAAATATGTTTATATTGAATACGAAACAGGAAAACCCTTTGATGGTAGAGAAAAAAAATTTCCTGTTTATAAAATTTTTGTATTTTCATTTTTTTTGGCTAAGTTCATCGAATGTGAAAATTTTTTCAGAAAATCTTTGGATTTCATTGCTCCCTTCTTAAACCTTTTAAAAAATCTTTTTATACTGGATACAAAACTGGAAAAACCTTTAATCATGATTTTAATTATTATTTAATGATGATATAAACCTTTAATTCACCAATATATTTGAACAAGTTGAACAAGAGGGATCAAGCATGCGAACACATGTTTTTTCTTTCCTCTTCTTTTTCCGTTTGTAAATTTTTTTTTTTTATTATTAACAACATGTTTTGTTTTTATTTTAAATTTGTCCTTGTTGACAAATTAAGATGTGTTTTTTTGAATTATATTTTTAGTAAATTTTCAGGAAGAAACCTTCATGGTAAGTTATAGGTTATGTTATAGGTTATGTTCTTCTAGATATTTTTTAATATATTTCTTTCATTAATAATTGTATGTAATTTCAGTTTAAAATTATCTGAGGATGCCTGTCGTCGACGGGCGAAAGCTAATAAATAATTATAAAATTATATGAATGGATTTTTTCAAAAAAACAAAATAAGATCTCACTAAAATTACAAATCCAAACAAAATAACATCGTAATATATATTATTGACTATTATCAACTTCCAATATTTATGCAAAGAATATTTTTTGCTTTGGAAATTATGAAAATTGATTTCACATTTTATTTATGAGGACTTTATAATATTTGGAGGACTTAGCGATTTTTGGAGGTTATACCAAAAAAAGTTTTGGCCTGACTTGGAATTTATCTTTACTTTCAACGTGGACTTCTCTAATTTCCCATTACTATCTATACTCCACATAATGGACGGTTGTCATCGTGATGGATTTTTTGGAAATATCAGAACGCGTTTTGGCATAACACCTGTCATTCTGATGAAAAGATGGATTAAAAAGCAGAAACGTCTGAGGAGACTAAGAAATAAAAATCGGTTCTTACTACGTTGTAAGTCAAGTGGGTTTCTTCCTTCTCATTTAATTAATTTAAATACTAATTTTTCTTTTAACAATTTTTTGATAAAAAAGCAATTTAATGAAGTAACTTTTAACTATAAAATTAGTGCTCTTAATTTTGAAATTAATGATACAAATATTTCTATATCAAATTTGCAATCCTTCTTGGTTAATTTAAAGAGTGAAATATCTTTGTTGATTAGTGACCAACAAATGTGTCATTATTTTTTTACCTGCCAAGAAAATGTTTTGGATAGTTATGAAAAGAAGCTTATTGACAAGGGTATTTCGAAATTTGATTGGTTAAATAAGAAATATTACAATTTTCATTTTAATAAAAAACCAAATCCGAAATGGATTAGAAACTTATCAAGTGTGACCATTTCACAAGATGTTTCATACTTTTTAAGTCTGGGGGATAAATTTTATATTAATCCGTCGGATAAATCTGCTGTCGTTGAGGACGCTCTGACCATGACTGAGGAGAGAATTAATCTCATCCCGGATAATAAAAGTGATGTTTTCAGAAGCAAGTTAACAGGTGCTTTACAAAATTATTTAAACAATAATCATAATATTTTTAACAATTCTATATATAATACTATTGGTAATAAAACTAGACAATTTCTTAAAGAAAATAAAAACATAGTAGTTTGTAAAGCCGACAAAGGTAATGTCACTGTTGTTTTGGATAAGGATGAATATGTAGATAAATGTTTAACCCTCTTAAATGATGGTAATATTTATAAACAAGTAAACAAAGATCCTACTTAAATTATACAAAGACGAATGAATGCCAAAGTTGATTTGCTTCTCAAGAATTCCTATATAAATTGTCCAATGAAGAAGCATCTTAAATCTTATAATTCGGTAGCTCCTAAATTTTACGGTCTGCCAAAAATTCATAAATCACAGGTTCCAATGAGACCAGTCACTTCTTTTTGTGGATCACCAACTTACAATTTGTCACAATTCATTAGAACGCCCATTAAGAAAATTATTAGAAATTCAGAGTTTCATGTAAAAAATAGTTTTGAGTTTATAAATAAAATTAAAGATTTTCATATTCCTAACGACTTCATTTTGGTCTCACTTGATGTTAAATCACTTTTTACAAACGTTCCTAAAGAATTAGTTTTGAAATGCACAAAATTAAAATGGAGAGAAATCAGGCAGCACACAGATATTCCCGACAATATATTTTTAGACATTTTAGAATTTTGTATTGATAGTGCGTATTGTTCATTCAATGGTAAATTTTATAAACAGATTTTTGGTACTCCGATGGGTTCTCCATTATCTGGCACCATAGCTGACTTAGTGATGGAGAAACTTGAATCGGATGTTCTTAAGAAATTGGATTTTGAATGTATTTTTTATTTTAGGTATGTGGATGATGTTATTACATGTATCCACAAGGATATCGTTAATTGTCTTCTTGATGCCTTCAATGGCTATAATAATAATATACAGTTTACCATTGAAATTGAAAATAATGGTCGCATTAGTTTTTTGGACACCCTTCTAATAAGAGAGAGTAACTCTATCATGACTGATTGGTATCACAAAGATACTTTTTCTGGTAGATATTTAAACTACAATTCTAATGTTTCTGTTAAAGATAAAATTTCCATTGTTTATGGCTTGGTGGACAGAGCCATTAAACTATCTGATAAAAAAAAATTTTTAATGATAATTTGAAATTTGTTCACGATATCCTAATTGAAAATAATTACCCTGTAACCTTTTTAAATAAATATAATTATTTACGTTACCAATTTTTATTAAATAACAATGCTAATAATAATAATATCAAAGAACCTTTTTCTTCCTCTAATGTAGTCGTTTTGCCTTACGTAAATGAGCTGCAATATTTTTTTAAAAGTTTATTTAATAAGTACAATGTTGGTGTCGTTTTCTCTTATGATAAGGATCCGTTTAAAATTTTTTCAAAAAATAAAGACCCTACTTCTTTTGATTTAAAATCGCATTTGGTTTATTGTGTACCTTGCCAATGTGGAGCTTGCTACATTGGTGAGACTGGTAGATATATTAAAGACAGACTAAGTGAACATAAGAGGGATTGTAGAAATGATAGTAGAAAAACAGCTTTGGTCACTCATGCACATGAGAATGACCATCTATTTAATTTCGAAGCAACAAACATCATATGTAACGAACGAAATTACAGACGAAGGAAATTTAGAGAGATGTTTCACATTCTCAAGTCCGAAAACTCTGTTAATAAACAGACTGATTTAAATAATTTGAATCAGTTTTATCATTCGTTAATTCTCAGTACTAATTAACTAATATATTTATTTTGTATTAAAAATTTTCTTAGATTACTGCTTATTTGAAATTTGAATTTACCTACTGTATGGGTTTCTTCCTTACCATATATAGAGGTACTTTTCAGTTTCACTTACTATCACTGTAATTCACCAATATATTTGAACAAGTTGAACAAGAGGGATCAAGCATGCGAACACATGTTTTTTCTTTCCTCTTCTTTTTCCGTTTGTAAATTTTTTTTTTTATTATTAACAACATGTTTTATTTTAAATTTGTCCTTGTTGACAAATTAAGATGTGTTTTTTTGAATTATATTTTTAGTAAATTTCCGGGAAGAAACCTTCTTGGTAAGTTATAGGTTATGTTATAGGTTATGTTCTTCTAGATATTTTTTAATATATTTATATTATATTAATATTATATTTATATTAAATGTAGAAATTTTTTTTGAAAATCTTCGGATTTCTTTACTCTCTTCTTAAACCTTTAAAAAAATTTTTTATACTGCATACGAAACAGGAAAAACATTTTATGATGTAGAAAAAAATTTCCTGTTTTTAAAATTTTTGAATTTTCTTTTTCTTTTGGCTAAATTCATCGAATGTGAATTTTTTTTTAGAAAATCATCGAATTTCTTTGCTCCCTTTTCAAACCTTTTAAAAAATCTCTTTATAGTGGATACGAAACTAGAAAAACCTTTTATAATGTAAAAAAAAATTTCCTGTTTTTAAAATTTTAGAATTTTCTTTTTTTTGTCTCAGTTCATCGAATGTGAAAATTTTTTCAGAAAATCTTTGGATTTCATTGCTTTTTTCTCAAACCTTTAAAAAAATATTTTTATAGTGGATACGAAACTGGAAAAACCTTTAATGATGGAGAAAAAAATTTCCTGTTTTTAAAATTTTGGAATTTTCTTTTTTTTGGCTAAGATCATCGAATGTGAAAATTTTTTTAGAAAATCTTTAGATATATTTGCTCCCTTCTCAAATCTTTAAAAAAATCTGTTTATACTGGATACGAAACAGAAAAAACCTTTAATGGTAGAGACAAAAAATTTCCTGTTTATAAAATTTTGGAATTTTCTTTTTTTAGCTCAGTTCATCGAATGTTGAAATTTTTTTTTATAATCTTCGGATTTCTTTGCTCCCTTCTCAAACCTTAAAAAAAATCTTTTTATAGTGGATACGAAACTGGAAAAACCTCTTGATGTAGAAAAAAAATTCCTGTTTTTCAAATTTTGAAATTTTTTTTTTTGGCTAAGATCATCGAATGTGAAAATTTTTTCAGAACATCTTTGGATATCTTTGCTCCCTTCTCAAAGCTTTAAAAAATATGTTTATATTGAATACGAAACAGGAAAAACCTTTGATGGTAGAGAAAAAAAATTTCCTGTTTATAAAATTTTTGTATTTTCATTTTTTTTGGCTAAGTTCATCGAATGTGAAAATTTTTTCAGAAAATCTTTGGATTTCATTGCTCCCTTCTTAAACCTTTTGAAAAAACTTTTTATACTGGATACAAAACTGGAAAAACCTTTAATGATGGAGAAAAAAATTTCCTGTTTTTAAAATTTTAAATTTCATATTTTTTTTGGATAAGTTCATCAAATGTGGAAATTTTTTAAAAAATCTTCGGATTTCTTTACTCTCTTCTTAAACCTTTAAAAAAATTTTTTATACTGCATACCAAACTGGAAAAACATTTTATGATGTAGAAAAAAATTTCCTGTTTTTAAAATTTTTGAATTTTCTTTTTCTTTTGGCTAAATTCATCGAATGTGAAATTTTTTTTAGAAAATCTTCGAATTTCTTTGCTCCCTTTTCAAACCTTTTAAAAAATATCTTTATAGTGGATACGAAACTGGAAAAACCTTTTATAATGTAAAAAAAAATTTTCTGTTTTTAAAATTTTAGAAGTTTCTTTTTTTTGTCTCAGTTCATCGAATGTGAAATTTTTTTCAGAAAATCTTTGGATTTCATTGCTTTTTTCTCAAACCTTTAAAAAAATATTTTTATAGTGGATACGAAACTGGAAAAACCTTTAATGATGGAGAAAAAAATTTCCTGTTTTTAAAATTTTGGAATTTTCTTTTTTTTGGCTAAGAT